ACAGATATATCTACACACCACACAATACTGAATAACTAAGAGTATTATAAAGGGATTTTTCTCTTTGTAAACAAAAGACTTGCTATATACAGGTTTTTAGGCAAATAGGCCAAAGTTTGAATACCAGCTTTTCCACATTTTAGCCAAATTCTTATTAGCTAGCCAGTTTTGACACCTCTATATCTCAGTCTCTCCATCTGCAAAATGAAGATAAAACTATCAAATTCTAAGGATTCTTATGTGTAGTAATATACATGATACAATTTCAATTTTAGAAAAGATTATATATAAAATTATAAAAACTGGGGAAACTTGTACATTAAGTTTGGAAGAGAAGCAGTATTTATGTTCTAGACCAGCATTATCCAATAGTAGTCACTAGTCACAAGTGACTATTCACACTTTAATTAAAATTAAGACTAAATAAAATTCAAAATTCAACTCCTCAGTCACACTACAATTCAAGCACACAATAGCCAGGTGAAGCTAGAGATTGCTGTATTAGACAGCAAATAATAATATTCCATTGTTGCAAAAGTTCTGATGGACATCATTATTCCAGGCCAGCTGTGGAACAAACCAAACTAAATTATTATTATTTTTTTAACTAATACTGGTATCCCTCCAAGGCTGGGTATTTGATCATATTTGTCTCTTCCATTCTATAAGCACTCTATCAGACAATGTTTTTAATTTATTTCACTCAGTGAGAATGAAGATTTGCAATTCAATGCTATTAGTTTCTTCCAACAGAAAACCAGGGTCTAAATTTAAATACTCAAAATCACCCATCTATGCTGACTTACCAAAAGGAGTCACAAAACCAATGAAAAGCTCCACTCAAAAGTATCTTTAAATTTTTACTATGATTTACTTTTCAAAATGAAATAATATTAAACATTTTCCCAAAAATATTAATAAAATTTATTAGTACTTAGTAGAATGGCTTTCTCATTCTCAGTGTGTTGGAGCTTATCCATCCCTCATACTCCCATCCCACTTCCTTCCTTTTTTATCCTTACATCTGAATTATGGCCTTATACTCTCAAGTAGCTTCTATCTAGCCTGTTTCCTCCTCAAAAATAATTCATTTACTGTAACACCACTGGGCTAATTTTTTCAGGTCACTTCTATATTGCTTCCATATTCAATAATTCACAACAGAAAGAATAGAAATTTTTTATCTAACATTTAAGACTCTCCATGAAACCCAAAATCATGTTTCAACCTGATCTTCTCTTTCCATTTATACCCTGTGCCTCTGCAAAACTGTTTGTTACTGAGTGAACTGTGCACTTTTGCATGCACATCATCTCTGTTTCTATTTGTGCTCTCAGTCTAGTTTGCACATACCAAATCTTATCTATTGCCCTTTGCCCAGCTTAAACACCACCTCTTCTGCTGGCCTTTCCTGCCTGCTCCAGCATCCAGAGTTCACAGAGATGCTTACTAGTGAACATTATCATGTCTATGTCCATGTCTTCAATTATAACAGGCTTGAACTATACAGTATTGATCATAACCATCTTTTTTGTCCCCAGCCCCTTTCTCTGCTTATGTAAGAGAACAGATATAAAAACGAATTTCATTGATTTTGATTTGTGCATATTTTTTTGAATATTTAAATCAAAAATAGTAAAATGCTATGATTTTAAACTCTATTTCTCTGTTTCTTCTTTCAGGTTCAGCTTCTGCACTGCATAAAACAAACAGTCACAGGGGGTGATTCAGAAATTGTAGATGGGTTTAATGTGTGCCAAAAGCTTAAGGAAAAAAATCCTCGAGCATTCCAGATTTTGTCTTCCACCTTTGTGGACTTTACAGACATTGGAGTGGATTACTGTGATTTCTCTGTACAATCTAAACACAAAATTATAGAGTGAGTACTTTTATGAATTTCTCATTGCAATAAAACAATTGACAGCAAACTCTCCATTAATCTAATGCTTAAACAGTAGAATGCTTTACTGCAAAGCTATTTTTTTTTTGTTTAATCTTTTAAGCCAAAAAGGAAAAAAGAATCTTTCCACAGTTGAATGAATTTTTTAATCAAATTACCTTAAATAATCTACTAATATTAGAGGAAAAGTAAGATTTAATGTGCACTTCATTTTAAAAATGTTAGTTCTACATAGTCTTAGTCAATGTGATTGTACTAGCAAAAGTGAAAGGACATAACTCAAAATAGGTAGATCCAGGAGTTACACATTGTCATCTGGAATTTTTCTACACCCTCCCCCACCCCATATTGACTCCTTTTTAAAGATGATCCTCAGAAGCTCCAAGTGTTCATTACCCCTGGAGCTGACAATCACAGCACAAGAAGTGTACTTTTTTCTGTACAACTGTGACAAAGGTAGATGACTCCTTGTCCAACTTATGTCTATGTCTGTCCTTGAAGCAAATGCCGTGGCCAAAGTTGGAGAATTCCTGGTGGCCGAGCCAGGACCACATGCTCATCTATAGAGAGGGTCAGCCTTGTTTGAACTGCATGGACTGAGAATGAAATAGAATCTCCCTCAAAAGATGCTAAGTCAACAAAGATCATATATTCCTTACAGAGAATATTTATGTCTTTGTTCTCTTAAAATTATTTTATCATGATTTCTCCAAGTACCCACTAAGGCTGTAATTTATCATTTTATTCGAGAATTATCTTAGATTTGTCTCTAGGACATTATGTATTCAAAGAGACTTCAGTTAATTTGGGGGTATTTCTGATTTTAGAATTAAATTTGTATTGTTTTTAAAGTAATAGCAACATAGGGAAATAAATTCATTTAGTAGATAATCAAATCTGTAGCACACAGTTTCATTATCATATTTTTATGTACAGCCTTCATTTATTCATCAACAAATAGTTACTGAGGCCAGACATTTTTCTTAGTACTTGGGATATGCCAGTGGACAAAATAAAGATGCCTGCTCTCACACAGCTTGAGTTCTAGTGGGGAAGGGGAGAATTTGAAATTTTGAAATAAGTAAGCAAATCATAATGAATATTAAAAACTATTACAGGCTTAAGAGGGGGAAAAAAAGGAAAAGTAGATCAAGATTAAGGGAATCTGTAGGACCAAAGACTTACCACCGATAAAATTTTCATCATTCAATAATGTAGTAAGGGAAAGATTTGAACAAAGACTTAAAGAAGTGAAGGAGTTTTCTAGAAAGTGCTAGAGCAAGAGTCCTAAGAAATCTTCAAGAACATGTCTAGAGAGTTCAAGAAACAAGCCAGAGCTGAGAGAGAGGAAGTGTGTTAGAAGAGGAGGTCAGATGGGGTCAGCTCATCCGTAGTGTTGTTAATAACTATAAACACCTAGGTTCTCATTCTGAGTGAAGTAGGGAGCTGTCATAAGGTTTTGACCAAAGAAGAGACATTTGTATTTAGTTATGTGTTATATAGATCCTCTGGCTACTGTGTTGAACATAGTATAAAATAGAGCAAGAACAGGAGAAGGAAGACCAGGCAGGAAACTACTGCTAGGACTCCCTGTCGAGATGACGGCACCCTGAACATGAGTGGTCCAAGTGACAGTAATGGCCATGTTGAAAAGGATATATTTTTTGATATATTTTTCAGGGAAAAAGATTATTTTCCTGATAGTTTGGATAAGAGGTATGAAGGAAAGACAATCCTCAGGAATATATTCTAGATCAAAATGAAGCTGAGGTTTTCTCTGAGAACTCAGCCATTGAGGGGAGAAAGAGAAGAAATAATTCAAGCTTCTTAGTTATATTATGACAGTTTTAATTATCTAAACGGCTCCTTTAAAATGAGAGCTTTTATCATTTTATCATCAGGAGATTAATAAATTTAATCTGATATACACATTACACATGTATATAAATGTATCAAAACATTATGTTACCCTATTAATGTGTAATTTTTAATTTTTATGTTTTATGCATGAGTTGAAATAAATTTAAATTTTAAAAATCCATGACAAATAAAAAAATTTTTTATGACCTAAAATAATTGCAGATTCTGTAAGAGAAGTGAAGCAAGAAACTTAGTTATTGAATGAGATTAACTGAATGTCCATAACCAAATCATGACTTGGCTTTGATATATTTTGTAATACAATCCAAAATTTGGCCATTTGTAAGGTCTCAGGGATATCCATGGAGATAATAAAGTGTTTAACATTAATCCATTTAAAAATACATTTTTAACAACAAGAGAGAAAACAAGGGTTTCAGTTAATGAGGGCTTCCGTCTCCTGAGTGTTTGGGTTAATTTATTTTTCTTGTAGTTAAACTTTTAAATTCTTTTGAAATTTTCATATCCTTCCTAGTACAAAAGAGTCTCTAAGGCTGCTAAAAGAATCAGTAACAATCCAATACAGTGAAAAATAAATTAATGAAGAAACTGGTGCAAAAAATAATAGTGGAATTAATCAATCCTATTGATTGCAAGTTTACTCATGTGAATACAAGTGTTTTATTTGCCATCTATGCAACCACTTATTCAATGACTTCCCCTTGCTGATTCAGTTTCTTTTCTAAAACAAAAAAAGAGAGAATACCTGCCACTTATCAATAATTTATGATGAAGTAGGAAGTCTAGAGTTAATAAATGGAAGCACTTACCAAAGTGCCTATCAGTGAAAATGCAAAGTATATTTGAGCTTGCTATAATTTTCATTTTATAAATGCCAACAATTTATGGATAATAGTTTTCTATTTCTTATCCAACCTAGAAACCAAAGCAAAGAAAGAATATAATCAGTTATAAGAGTCAAATTGCTTCTAAAGTCTAAAATAATTTTTTCCTGCAGATTCTCTCATAAAATGTGATGCAATAGATAATACCATAGAGACACTCCCCCAGTAAAAGCAAGAAGTTCCATAAAACATCCCATCTCCCTGCAAGACTAATAGGAAATATTCATAGCAGCAACTGGGACTGTGGGAGATATCTATGGTCCTTTCTTTGGGTTCTTGTTGGCATCACTGATGATGATTTGCCTAGATTGGTTCACTGTCATCTTGTTGCTGGTTTATTTTTAAATATTTGTCCTTTGTTCACAGATAAATATATAGCTAGTTATTCTCATCTTTTATGACATTTTACCCTTCCTCTGCATGAAAGTTTGCATTAGACGCTTCCTTTTATTCTGTTGTTCTATAAAGGAATTTCCTGCTTACTAAGATCCAATTTTGCATCTTTAAGGTTTCAGGCCCCCCTCCTAGCACTTTTGCAGTGAGATTTCTAAAAACACTTTCTAACTCTTCAATCCTGAGACTAATGTCTTCTTTAGCAGTCAATTGCATCCTTCCTTCTATATCCTGACATTGATCATGGTTCACTCTCTGTGTGACCAGTCAGCTAAGTGCAGCCCAGACCCAAACACAAGTTCTCTATGTATGTCCAAGCACATTGAACAATTTGTTTGGTCTGATCCATCAGGTGTGGACTCCACTTAGCTGTTGGCAACCATTACTACCCCCTGGGTTTGTCCCCTGGGGACACTTCTTTAGGAAGTAATACTAAGCAATATGTCACCATCCTGGACCACTTTCTCTCCTATTTTCATTCATACCTACTGTTTCTACCTAAAGGAAAAATAAAAGTTGAGAGTTGCTTGGTACTGAAGGTCTGGCTGAAAGTCCACCTTCCCAAAAAGCTAAAAACAAAAACTACACACTCACACATACACACATACACACACACACACACACACACACACACACACACACACAGAGAAAAAAAAAATCTCCTCTTTTTGCCTCTGTATGTAAGTGATGTCCATGTCTTGCTTATTTTAACCAGCATAGTCCAAACTCCAGAAAGTTTGTTACCTTTTCTTACATTGAAAGTTGTATTATCTTGCATTGTCATGATCACAGTCCATATTATAAGAAAGGGTAGAGAAATCACAACATTAGGATCTTCCAAGGTACTAAAGAGACTTCAGTACTCCCCTAAAGCATGAAAAATATACAGACACAACAAATGTTTATTTACCAACTCTTATGTCCAGGCTTTATGTTGAGAGCTGGGAATACAACACTGAGTGAGATACAGTACCAATCTTCTAAAGGTCTTCAGACTAAGACATGTGGTATAGAGAGGTAGATAGGAAGAATGTTCTCAGGCTAGTCTCTTCTTTTCTCTATTCTCCACTTTCCCTCATCTCCAAACTAGGCATTAAATAAGAACCATATATGTCAAGCTTTTAAAGAATAAAATTTTCTTCCAATTAGATAAAATACAAAAGGTAACTGACCTATAAACTCGTTGCATGAGATTTTAATATGTAAAGCCTATTTCAAAGAACAACAAATAAATTTCACTAAGCATAACAAAATGTTGACTTGAATATATCAGTAACATTTTAATTTTAGTATAATCCCTCCTAGCACTTTTGCAGTGAGATTTCTAAAAACACTTATTCATAATGAATGAATGAAAAAGATGAAGGAATACATTGTACCACAGGTAAATTGAATATCTTGACCCTTACAAATGTAAATAGATATTTCACGAATTATATGTTAATTTTTTCTCTTCAACAGGTTAGATGACAAAGGCCAAGTGGTTCGCATCAACTTCAACAATGCAACTAGAGACACGATATTTGATGTACCTGTTGAGAGAGTTCAACCTTTTTATGCTGCTCTAAAAGAGTTTGTTGATCTCATGAACAGCAAAGAAAACAAGTTCATCTTCAAGATGAATCCAGGTCAGTGGGGACATTTTTTCAAAAAAGTAAAAAATTTGGATTTTCTCCAACTTTACCCATGTAGAATGATATCCAGAACAGTTTTACAGTAGAATCTTGGTGAACAGCTGACTTGGCTTAAAACAGCAGCTTCCTGGCTCCCACCTCTGCTACTTTAAAGAAACTCTGGGCCAAATGAAACCTTCTGTCTGATATTGAGTCTGGTGTTTTCTATTTTCTATCCTAATAGCCTATCAATACAAGCTGAGCCTTCTACTTTATTTTCCTATCCTGGTAGACAAATATGTCCTCATGATGCTGATCATAAAGCACTTAAGTTTATTTCTAAAACTTATAGGCAGAGATAGTATTGAATGAAATAAAATAGTACTTGGAGTACTCTAGCTACTTGAAATAAAGGCACAAAAAACACTGATTTTTTTTTTTTTTCTGGACCATACCTGCCAAGTGAAGTGCCTCCACAATTTAGCCTTTTTTTATTTATTTGTTTTTAATTGACAAACAAAATTGTATATACTTGTCATATACATGTTGCTTTGAAGCATGTATATATTATGGAATGGCTAAATCATTCTAATGAATATATGCATTATCTCACATAGGTATTTTTTTTTTACAGTAGAAACACAAAGTCTACTTTCTTGGCAAGTTTCAACAATATAGTACATTGTTATGAACATATTGTGCAATGACTCTCTTGAACTTAAGGCTTTTGTTATCTATAATGACAGGCATAATTTCTCTCTGCTCTTGATTTGGCCAAATGGAAAATTCATTTTACTGTAATTGTTTTTATTTCTTTTCTTTTTTCTTTATCTGTCTTTCTTATTTTTTCTCATGACAGTATCTTGCTATATTTCCCAATATGGGTCTGAAACTCACAAACTCAAGTGAACCTCTCATCTCAGCCCTCCAAGTAGCTGAGACTACCTTAGTGCACCACCATGCATGGTGGAAATTATTTTTAGAATTCAACTTCGGCATAATAAAAAGACTAGAAATTACCATAAACCCATTGCCACGCAGTCACAGCAGGTTGATTTTAAGAGTGGCAACGTGTAAACTGAAACACCATGGGGGGAAATAGTTGGAATCCAGGTTTACCATGTGAAGGCAATGAAGCTTTGGGCAAATCCCTCAACTTGTTGAAGTTTTGATGTTCTCATGTATGAAAGGGCAATTCTTTTTTTAGAGTTCTTATGAATCTTAAAAATAATGTCCATAAAAGACTGGGAATATAAAAGACCAAATAATAATATCACTGAATGATTTGAAACTGTTAAACCAGGTGAATAATTTCCTAATTAAGAGATAAGTGACAAGCAGTAAAAACATTAAAAAGCTTTACACAGAGAAAATCTTCCAAGTAAGAATTATTAAGATGTCCACAGGAGCCTACCAGGCTGTGTGATTTAAGTGTCAAGGCCTAAAACAGTTTGCATCTAGAGGTTGATTAGTGTGACAGCAAATGTGCAGTCTTGGGTAAAGAAATAAATGGACTGTTTATTGCTATGAACTGAGCAGCATTGGGGTTTTGCCTGTTATATTTGCCTGCTTTGTAAATCATTTAAACACAAATTATTAATAATGGGAAAAAAATTCTTTCGTTTAGGTGATGTGATTACTTTTGATAATTGGCGCTTACTTCACGGCCGACGAGGCTATGAAGCAGGAACTGAGATAACCCGCCATCTGGAGGGAGCCTATGCTGATTGGGATGTGGTGATGTCAAGGCTTCGCATCTTAAGGCAGGGCGTTGCTAATGGGAACTGAATCTTGTGTCTCTAATTTTAATAAGATTTCAGTGACTGCATTTATAAGATATGTCACGGTTATTCAAAAGATCACAATCTGTATGGTTCACATATCAATTTAGCACTGAACATGTAACTCCCTCACAACAATACACTGTTGCTTGTAATTCTACTCAATGTCAGCCTTTTCAATGGTGTAGCAATATAACCTCTTCTCCAAATAAATCATTCTTCTGTCTTATTGAATGTTTAGACCCTAATTTCTTTTGCCCACATAAGAGTGCTTCCAGAATGCCTATAAATAGTTTTTAAAGCAAATGAAATATTTCTTCTACAGTTTTTTTTTAACAGAGTTTTTGCTTCAAATAAAACTTGGGCTTCAGATAAAATTTCTTAAAACATGCTTCTGCTCTGTTGCCTATGGAGTCTCATTTTTCATGACTTCATATGACTGTCTTGGGAAAAAGATATTTTCAAAGAACGTTTTTATTCACTTTTGTTATAGAATTCCATTAGCCAAATCTCCAACGTGGTGACCTCAACATTGTTTTGTAATACCTAAATTATGACAGCAAAGCCAAGTATACCAAATTAAGAAAAAAAAAATCTTATCTCCCTAAATTTCTCTTACCCTAAATAAAACTCCCCATGGACCACCAGCATTGCTTGCTCCTGTGCATGGATCCATGCTTATTCCTTGCCTCCTACTAACAACTGGGAAGAGAAAAACCAAGACTCAGGCAGTACTCGTGAATGGGCTTCATGTCTGCCACCCTCTGCTCTCTTCAGGGCCAACGCCTTGCCCTAGTGGTGGAATATAGCAATGGAAGTCTCAGTCCTGCTGAGCCCAGTTCCTCACCCCTGACACAAGGGGAGCCTTATCATTAGCATTTGCTGAAATCCCAGTAATACAGACATCTTATAGTCCATAGTATTTGGACCCAACCAAGCCTCCTGTTCTAAAAGTCTTAATCACGGCCATCCTGGCAGGGCACTCCCTGTTGCCTCAAGACCACAGGTAAACATTGCTTCCATTCATATTTTAATTTTGCTTCACACTCACTTCAGTTTCCATGACACTCAGAGTCTGGATCAAGAGTACCTTTATCTCATGTCAGAACACCCCTCTGAGGCTCTGAACTCTGGTATTGAGTCTATATCACCATCCCAGACTCCTCCTTATCATCATATTGTTCATTGCTGGGACTTCCATGTCCTTTCCTATTATCTGGTCTTGCCTAGGGCCACTGCAGTGTGTAACTTATGCTTCATTTCTTTGAACTTGAAAAGGAATGGGCTGGATTCCCAATCTTTCCTCAAATACTCCTAAAATGAAAAATAGGTGAGTTCAATAGGGGAATGACCTAGTTCGAAAGCGCAGCATTCAATACCTCAAAACAAATAATTTACTGGAGTGAGCCCAGACTTCATCTATTCAAAGCATCTAAATTCCAGGCACTTTCCAAATGACACTACATTTTTTATTCATTTAGCGGATATTTATCCCACACTGTGGTATAAGCCACTCTGCTAGAATAAGGATGCAGAAGGTCCTGAAATAAACCTCTTTATAGCCTATTAGGGAATCAGATAAGGATGTAGACAATAATGTGTCACATTAACAGGATGGTTCATAGGAAGGCAACCAAGCCAGAACAAGAAGGCTCCAGGAAAGTTGCAGTCTGAGTTGAATTATGAGAACTAATGGTAATTTTCCAAGTAAAACTATTATCTGTGTCTCTTATGCTGCCATTAAAACATAAGAGGCACAGATAGTTGAAGAGTAAACACAGAACACGTGTTGACTCTTAAATGAGAAAAGCAGAAAGCAGACCATAGCGGCAGTGCAAATGCTGGGATTGAATGTCTAGGTTCAAATCATAATGATGGCAATCATTTAACCATGTCTCTTTCCCCTAAGCCTCATTTCTTTCTACCTATAAATGAGACTAATAACAGTTATTATTTCATTATATTTTTAAATAAAAGTTTACATGAAGTTGTGTTTTCCCAAGTTTCTGAGATGATGAGTCACACCCACAGGGCCTTTTCTTTTTAAGAAAAAAAGACAGCATCCCAGATCATTCCCTGAAGATTATGATTCAATAAGTCTGGGACAAAGACCAGCAACTATATTTTTAGCAAGGATCCCAGGTGATATGCATCACTAGTAAAGTTTGGAAAATACTGACATATATATATATATTAGTATAGTTCCAGCTCAGGGTAAGTTTTCAAATGATGTTAACTGTTATTACTTATAATAACAGAGGTTGTAGAGGGAGAGAGTAGGTTAGGGTGAGAAGAGATATATAAGACTGAAGACAGAGACAAGGCCAAATCATGAAATGTTAAATGCATGCTGCATTACAGAATTGCTATTTATCTTGAAAGAGCAAGGAAAAGTCATTTAAAGGAATCAAGCAGTGAAATGACTTGATCAGATATTCATTTTTTAAAGATCCATCTGGCTTCATTGTAGAGGAAATTGTTTGTGAGCAAAACTAAAACCCAAAAATTTACTTAGGAGATTACTGCAGGGAGCCATATGAAAAATGAAGAAGGATTGCACTAGAACACTGGGAAGCGGGGATACAGGGATACTTAGAAGTCCAGATCTAAAAGGCCTGACCCACAAAATATAAAGAGGGAGGGAGATAGCTAGGGTCTCTCTCGGGTTTCTCATTAGGAAAATGCTTTACACACAGAGAAATAAGTGACATCTGTCCACTTGGCAGTTGGATATATATGCACATACATCTCTGGACAGAGATCTGGATTAGAAATCTACATTTGGAAAGTATAAAGATTGTAGTTGAAATCGTCACTTGCTTCCTTGGAGACATAGTGACTAAAGTCACAGCCATAATGGGTTGATGATAAACTAATGATATTGGCTTAGCTTATATAATCAGTTTTATGAAAAATATAGGCTTATATTCAAAGTCATATAAACTTCTCACATATTTTATTTTTGTCTCCAGAAGACAATGTCCCAAGCCACCACTCCACAGCCTTCCTGTTTCTTTCTCTGCAGCAAATATTATTTCTGTCCTGGAAAGGAGATACAGAGAATTGGATGCAATTGCAACAATTTCTAAAGTGTTATATATGACATGACATATAATGGGCTACAGCAGCTGGTGCTAAATAAAGATGATTGGGTTTCCTGGATATAATTGTCTGAAGAATTGACTTACCCCCAAATTCATAACAGACCTGATGTAACTTGGATTAGAAAATGGCCTTGTTGGCGGAATAGATGCTACTGCCTTCCATTTCTCTGATTTGTCTTGGAGCATGTTAGCTGCGTGCTAGTTAATTGGAATAACTCCACAGTTCACCAGAATGACATGTCACTGATGGATCTGATCCTGATGGATCTCTATCTCTTCTTTTAGCCAACCATTAAAAGGCGAGCAAATGAATACTGGTAGAAGGAATTTATGCAAGAAAAGAAATTCTATAGAAAATCTAAGTAACACTGAGGATAATTTCTCTTCAGAAGTTTAGACTATGAAATGGAAGATGTCTTTTAGACAAAAGTATTTCTGTGTGTTAAACATCACCAGGGATACATTTGAAGCAAAAGTTCTTGCAATGAATATGTGATAGAGTTGGACGTGACAGCTTAGTGTATATCTGAATCTGTGCACACTTTTTCCCAGTTATCTAGAATACCCTTCTCCGTTTATTGCCTTTTAGCTCAAAAACTCCTCTTTCTTCTTCAAAATTCAATTCAATTGGCCAACAGTATGGTAGAATAGGAGGTTCTACACTCATATCCCCCCAAAGCAACAATAATTTTGACAGCCACCAACAGAAAATGTGTTTTTAGAAGGAATTTTGAGAATCAGGCAGGAAGTGACAAAATCCCAGTGAAGCACAAGACTAAAAAGGCCTGTTTTGAGAAGGCAGATTTATACTCTGGTAGCAGACCCAGAATTAGAGCTACCTCCTGTGGTCTTAGATATAGCTCTGTTTGGCCTTCATCTTGCCACCAGCATCACCTGCTGTGGGACCAAGGGTGAATCATTCCCCTTCTTCCCATGCCCTAGGTAACAGGCCTGTCAAATTTGGCTCCAGCTGAGGACCCTAAAATGACTTGTGACATAGCTCTCTCTGCTCCCAGCCATATGGAAACATTCCTGCCTGCATAGTGACCCACTAGGAGACACATTTGTCCATATCCATGGAGGCCAATTTGCCTAGATCCTGAAAGAGCCCTGCAACTAAGCTCCAGCCCCTCTCAGCTGCAGGCTAAGGATCCACCATGAGATATGCCCATTTCATGCCCCTGGATTCTGCTTGCTGTCTCAGTCAGATCGCAGATCCTAAAGCAACTCTAGAAAACAGATCCCAGGATCCCAACAAGAAGCACCATGTACCATGTACCTGGAGGTAGACTTATAGACTACAGTTTCAACTATAAGCACAGAAGTATCCCTCTGACTCTCTTCTGGTCTTGCCTCCCCAAAACCCACCTAATAACGTGATGAGAGCCTTCCCAGGTACCTGATAGGTGACATAACTTTCTGTGAACCCAGCAGCAAATTTGCTGTCTATGGACATAACTATAGACCCCTGAAGTAGACCCCGTCCCAGCTCCAACACTACTAACCCAGGTCCTGGAGGCAGTCTAGTATACCCAGGGGCCAGACAAGATTCACACTGGCTGAGCCTCAAATAACAGGCCTGCCAACCACAAGCTCCATCAGAGGTCATGTAACCTGCTATAGATTCAGTCAATTGTGATCCTAGAAGCAATTACATCAAGGCAGAGACCCAAGTGAAAAAAAGTGTTCACCTGCTAAAACTAGTCTATAAAGACCTGAAGAAGTGCTTACTTCTTTAAATGCATAGATACTAATTCAAGGTTACACATATCAAAGAAGGAGGCAAACACACCATCTCCAAAGGAAATTAATGGATTTCCTATAACTAACCCCAAAGAAATAGAGATCCCTGGGTTACTTGACAAATAATTCAAACTAATCAGTGTAAAGAAATTCAGTGAGATACAAGACAGCAAAAGAGATTAGATAACTAAACAAAACAGAAAAGCAGCAGATTCTGACATGCAGAATAAGTAATTGCACACTTGAAAACAAGTCATTGACAAGGAGCCAATGAGCAAAATGAAAAGAAAAAGTAAGGGAAAAAAAAGACAAGAAAGCATTCCTGACCTATCAGACATCATCAATCAAATGAACAAAGGAGGACAAGCAAGATCAATTCAAAGACTA